CCCGCCCTGGGGCGCGGGCCCCCCCCCCGCCCCTCCCCCCCCCCTGCCCCTCCCTCCCCCTCCCCCACAGGCCTCGGGGGGGTTCCAGAGCCCTGGGGGGAGCCCCCCCAGCGCCGCCCCCTCCCCCACGGCCGCCTACGGACAGGGCCCGCAGGTGAGGAGCGCGAAGCACCCCGAGCCCCACCGAGCCCCCCGAGCGGCCCCTGGTGCCCCAAATCCCACCAGAATACCCCAAAATCCCACCAGAATACCCCAAAATCCAACCAGAATACCCCAAAATCCCACCCAAATACCCCAAAATCCCACCCAAATCCCCCAAAAACCCACCTGAATACCCCAAAATCCCACCCAAATACCCCAAAATCCCACCAGAATACCCCAAATCCCACCCAAATACCCCAAAATCCCCCTGGAATAGCCCAAATCCCACTCAAATGCCCCAGATCTCACTGAGATGCCCCAAATTACCCTAAAATCCTCCCTGGACTAGCCCCAACACCCCAAATTACCCCCAAATATCCTAAAATTCCCCCCAAATCCCCCCAAAACCTACAAAATTCCCCCAAAATTCCCCAAAACCCACATTAATTACCCCAAATCCCCATAAAATCACCAAAAGATCCCCCCAAAACACCCCAAAATCCCCCCAAATTATCCCAGAATCCCCCACAAGCCCAAAATTGGGGGATTTGGGGCCCCTCGGAGGTGGGGAGGGGAGGGATGGGGGGAATTTGGGGGGGGTTTGGGGTGGATTTTGGGGGTTCTGGGTGGGTTTGGGGTCTGGGGCGATTTGGAGATTTTTTGGGGGGATTTTGGGAGGAAAAGGGGAGGATTTGGGGCAAAAGGGAGATTGGAGCTGGGAATTTGGGGGGGGGGTTTGGGGTGGAAAATGCAGAATTTTGGGGGAAAATCGGGAATTTTGGGGGGGGGGGGGAAAACCCCGGGCCCCCCCCCCCCCCCCCCGCGCCCCGGAATTCGGGGGCGGAGTCAGGGGTGACCCCTCCCCCCTTCTCCCCTCCCCCCCCCAGAGCTACGGGCAGAGCTTCGCCCCTCCCCCCCCCGGGTACTTCGGGGGGGGCGGGGCCTTCCCCTCCCCCCAGCCCCTCCCCCAGCCCGGGCAGGGCCTCGGCCCCGGCTACGGCCCCTTCCAGGTGGGGGAGGGGAAACGGGGGGGGG